AGTTCGATTGCGATTCAGCAAAAGAAGAAACTCTGAAAGAAGAAGGATACGTGGAAAAAATCAACATCGAGCTAACGAAAGATGAGAGCATAAGGAACTTGTATTCAAGAAAAAGAAAATCAGGGATAATCATCCGGAAGATGATAGTGAAACTTGCTGAAGGAGAATAGAGGATAATATAAAGTAAAGGCAGCAAAGAAAGCCCTAGAAAAGAGGAAGATAAACAAAAATGCACAGAGGACCAAAACACTATATGACGGTTCATGATAGAAATAAAAGAAATAATAAAGAGCAAAAGAAAAGCCTATCTACAATATTTTAACAACACGGGAATACGATGAGTACAAAAGAGTCAGTAATAAATGCTAAAGTAAATGCTAGAGTGAGAGAGAGAATTAAAAACGGAATACCGGATAAACTTCACAACATGAGATATGTAAAGGAACCTGTACGGGATCTAGAAGAGGATTTGGGGAGTACTAAGACGACAGAAACAGAAAACAAGCGAATACACAGCGAATCACAGCAATTAAGAACGACATCTGGATGCAATATTTCCAGAATCTGTATCAGAAAATCCTAAACGCAACAGAACAGACTCCACGATCACAAATAAGAGCAATCGTAATAGAGACCCAGCTGGAAGAGTAGATCAAAAAGCTAAAGAAATAGGAAATCATTAGGTCGAGATAAAATACGAATTACTTAATTACGAAGGACAAAAGCTAGTTAAACAACTCACTGCCTTTTTCTAAAAGATCCGACAGCGAAATGGCCCCTAAAGAATAGAAAGAAAGTATAACCATTCCAATCTTTAAGAAGCGGGATAAGAAAATCTCAGAACAATCTACAGGGGCATCACACTGCTGAGCACTGTTATGAAACTATTTATCCGAATCATCAAATCGATCTTTTTGGATCACATTAAATTCAGTGAGAAACAGAAAGGATTTAGGAAAAACAGATCCACCACTGAATATTTATGGTAAATTTAAATCATATATGGTAAAGCAATTAGTGGAGAAGACAGTGGAATTTAATAAACCAGCATTCATGTGTTTCATCGATTTGACCAAAGGTCAAATATAACAGGATCAGATTGAAGGATGTGACAGGAGCACTCAAAAAGGAGAATATATCAGAAGATAAATATATATATATATATAT